TGAGTCAACTAGCAAGCTGTCAGCCTGGTCTGTTACTGAGTCAACTAGCAAGCTGTCAGCCTGGTCTGTTACTGAGTCAACTAGCAAGCTGTCAGCCTGGTCTGTTACTGAGTCAACTAGCAAAGCTGTCAGTCTGGTCTGTTACTGAGTTAACTAAACAAACTGTCAGCGTGGTCGTTACTGTCAACTACAACTTCAGCTAGTCAGTTTCTGATCAATACAAGCTTGCAGCCTGGTTCTGTTACTGATCAACTAGCAAGCGTCAGCCTGGTCTAGTTACTGAGTCAAAAATACAACTGTCAGCCTGGTCAGTTACTGAGTCAAAATACAAGCTGTCAGCCTGGTCAGTTACTGAGTCAACTAGCAAGCTGTCACTTGGTTCTGTTTTTGAGTCAACTAGCCCAACTGTCAGCTTGGTCTGTTACTGAGTCAACTAGCAAGCTGTCAGCCTGTGTCAGTTACTGAGTCAACTAGCAACATGTCACCTGGTTTTGTTACTGAGTCAACTAGCAAGCTGTCAGCCTGGTCAGTTACTGAGTCAACTAGCAAGCTGTCAGCCTGGTCTGTTACTGAGTCAACTAGCAAGCTGTCAGCCTGGTCAGTTACTGAGTCAACTACCAAGCTGTCAGCCTGGTCAGTTACTGAGTCAACTAGCAAGCTGTCAGCTTGGTCTGTTACTGAGTCAACTAGAAAGCTGTCAGCTTGGTCTGTTACTGAGTCAACTAGCAAGCTGTCAACCTGGTCTGTTACTGAGTCACTAGTAAGTGTCAGCCTGGTCTGCTACGATCAACTAGCAACTGCGCCTGGTCAGTTACTGAGTCAACTAGCATGCTGTCAGCCTGGTCAGTTACTGAGTCAACTAGAAAGCTGTCAGCCTGGTCAGTTACTGAGTCAACTAGAGAGCTGTTAGCCTGGTATAATCTTAAGAAGCCTCAACTCAGTGTCTGTCTGTTCATTAAGGTGTTGGGAGGTTACCTTGGTTCCCAGGAGCTGGGATATATGTCCTGGGTTCGATTCCCGGCTGGTCGGAGTGTTGTATTTGCTTAAAAACCACTTTGTTCTGTGGATGCAGAAAACATTATATATATATATATATATTAATATATAATATATATAATAATAATATATAATATATATAATATATATATATATATATTTAATATATATTAATACACGTTATATAATTAATAATATATTCTAGGTAGTAGGCTGGTAGACAGCAACCACCCAGGAGGTACTACCGTCCCTGCCAAGCGAGTGTAAAACGAAGCCTGTTTTTGTTTACAGATTGGTAGGATTGCTGGTGTCCATTTTTCTGTCTCCTGAACATGCAAGGTTTCAGGTACGTCTGCTTCTTCTACTAACACTTAGGTCCACACTACCATCATGTACAACATATATATACACACCCCTTTGAAAAGGAGAAACTTTCGTTTTTTCTTTTGGGCCATCCCACCTCGGTGGATAGGCCCAGTGTGTTGAAAAAAGAATATATATATATAATATAATATATATATATGTATATATATATATATATATATATATAATATTATATTTATATATATATATATAATATATAATAAATATATTATATATATAGATATATATATATATATATTATATATATATATATATATATATAATATATATATATATTATATATAATATATATTAATATATATATATATATAATAATATTATTCGTGCGAATAGCAGAACTTGCGATCTTGGCTTAAATAGCAACGCACATCTTTGCCATATAGGACAGTGAAAATTGTGTATGCACATAATTTCGCCAAAATCATTCTGAACCTAACTGAAAAAAATACATTCACTGTGTTTGTTTGGTATTAAATTATTTTAAACAAATCTAAAATATATTTAGTTGGTTATGGCTAAAATAAATTGTTCTTGTTATAACAAGGTTAGGTAAGTTTTCTAAGATTCTTTTGGTGCAAAATTAAAATTTTTTACATTAACATTAATGAAAAAAATATATCTTTAAACGTATAAGAGAAAATTTTAGAAAGGGCTTAATTTTAAATGAGTTCTTGCTAATTGACCAGTTTTACATATTCGGCACGACATTATATATATATATATATATATATATTATATATTATATATATATATATATATATATATATATATTATATATATATATATATATATATATATATATATATAATATATTATATATATATATATAATATATATATATATATATATATTATATATATATATATATATATATATATATATATAATACTATGACTGGAACAAGGGCAATACTGACTGCATGTAAGTACAGACATCACACACACAACATACATGTACACATACAGCACTTACTTACAAGTATACTGTACCACTAACATACACGAAGAATGGAAGAGAGGCAGAAGAAAGAACAATGAGTGGAAAGCCTGAATAAGGCAGTGTAGAGGAAATCTCACTTCGTAAGCCTTCCCATTAACATTTTAATGGAACTCCCAACATTTGCATAATCTCAATCGTCTGAACTTTTCTTATAAATGATTTGGGATTGCAGCAGCAGCCGAGTGACCTGATGAGCCTCAGTCCTGGTCACAGTACCTTCCCACCAACCTCCATATGACCTGAGTCTATTACCATCAATCTCCCTTTACCTTCGATAAATTCAAAGGTTTTTCTACTCCTGGAGCTAGCCATGTGCCAGGCTCGTCTAGTGCTTGCCTGGTCAACCAGGCTGGTGTTGGTGGCCTGCTGTCCCACATATCCATCACAGCCTGGTTGATCTAGCACCTGGTGAAGATACTTGTCCAGTTTCCTCTTGAAGACTACTAGACTGGTTTCAGCAGTGTTTCTGATATACAGTACTCTGTTAAGATGTTGAATAATCTGGGGTCCACAGATGATGATACAGTGTTCCCTTATTGTGCCCACTTCACCCCTGCTTTTCACTGGGTTTATCTTACGCTTCCTCCCATATCTCTTGCTCCAGTATGTTATGGTAGTGTGCTATTTCATGACTGAGCTTTCATTTTTTTTTTTTTTTGTGTCCACTGACTTTTTTATGCTAAGTGCCAGGCACCTAAAACTGAGAACTACAGAATTTGATTAATAATGTGCATACATATTTTTTTTTTAATAAGCTGGCCATCTCCCACAAAGGCAGGGTGACCCTAAAGAGAAACGCTTTTGCCATCACTAGCTTACGAATATCAATATTAAACAGATTCAAGCCATATTTACAGCAACACAGGGAAAAATTAAATTATTCGGATGAATGAATTTTCCTTATACGTATCAGAGGTTTCAGAATTCACATCAACTCTACGAACCTGATCCCTGTGAAAGGCAGGGTTGCTACGTACACTGTGTTAGTAAAGATGCTGAATTAGACATATGTAACACCTGTGTATCTATGCCTGTAGACATTAACCATCCAGTGGTTTTATCATTACTATACATGGGCATAATATGCAATAAGATCACAGTAAACAAGTGATATCAAATATGCAAAATAACCTCAGTGAAAAAAATTAGTGAAATTCTAATGTGATTTCTCCCATCATCAAGGAATAGTGAAAATAAATGGTATAAAATACCGACACAATGGAAACATAAACACATATGCAGTTTAATGTGATGCTTTATTGACAACGTTTCGCCCACACAGTGGGCTTTTTCAAGTCACAAACAGATCTACCCCCGTACCTTCCACCCCAGGTAGATCTGTTTGTGACTTGAAAAAAGCCCACTGTGTGGGTGAAACGTTGTCAATAAAGGATCACATTAAACTGCATACGTGTTTATGTTTCCATCAAGGAATAGTAAAAATAATAAAAGAGCAGAAGACTTATAAAGCTGAGATTCCATCTCACTTATGACCTCACACACAAAATACAATTGTATTGACAAAGCACTAGATGGTTAAATGTCTACAAGTAAACATACCCAAATGTTTCACATATGTTTAATTCATCATCAGAGATGCTGATATATATACGTATTTTTTTCCATGTGCTGCTTCCTGGCATTAACTTTCTCGGATACTTTTTAAGATATTTTATACTTACTGTTATTACTATATCATGTGAAACTCAATAGATTACCACTATGAAAATAATCACTAATGCAATTAAAAAAAATCTTGGGGTACAGACAGCCATGTTTGAGTGTCAGGATGGTACTGACAGCCACATTCGAGTGCCAGTGGCATTAACAGCAATATCTGAGTCTCAGAATAACACTGGCAGTGATTACTGATTGTCAGGGATGCATTGGTAGCCATGTTTCTGTCAGAAATGCACCAACAGCCAACAATGATTGTCAAGGATGGCACCAGCAGCCATGTTTGTATCAAAGTGCCACTGATACACCAGCCAGTAGGGGAGTTTTTTCTGATGTATTACAAGAAGAAGCAGTGTAAATACTCTGGCATTACACAACATGCAACTAATGAAGACACAGACTCCGCTGGCTCTAGCAAAAACAAGCCGTCAGATTTAAAGCTGAAAATAGCAAACTTTTGAGAGAAAATTCTCAGACAAGGTTTTGGTTTTTCCTGAACATTATCAAGTGACAACTGAGTGAGAGATGGGAAGAAAACCAGAAAGCAGGTCAAAAAAGAGGTCAGGGGAAGTTAGAAGACTGGTCAGGTGACAAAAATATCAGTAAATAAGTCAGGAGGTGAGTACTGTAATTTCCAACATATAAGACGTGCTTTTTTTCCCCACAAAAAAGTCTTGGAAAAATCACCCTGTGCCTTATATGCTCGAGGTCAGGGTCAAGGGTAGACTTTGGGCTGTTGTTTACTAACACTACATTACAAGTGCTCGGAAACATCGTCTTATATGCAGGAAATTATGGTAGTAGTAATAAGTTAATTAGATCACAGAAATTTGTGCACCATATTTTTACATTACATGGAATCATAAATCAAATATGTACTTTCAGTTTTGTTCTGCATTGTCAAACATGAAAACATTTAAAATTATTATCCCTGCAGTACTTACCTTGACTAGGGTTTTTGTATCCTACTTATCAGTGCACACCCGTAACACATTAATCTGAAAATACATCAAACTATATGAGAACTTACAAATGATTACTAAAACCTGTATATAGTGTATAATGTTATCAAAACTTTGCAGATAGAAATTAAGTCATTGACATTTTAGGGTTATCCTAGGTAATTTACACTATATATGATACAGGAGGTCCCCACTTATACAGCAGGTTAGGTTACAGGTTACTGTTGTCAAGTGAAAATCACTGTAAAGTGGAACATAGCCTTTTCTCACTTTCACATGCTTATAAAAGCCTGCTAACATGTTTACACTATCATATACGTATTAGGTGAGCCATAGACCTTGGTCTGAAAAAATGCATATAGTACAATACACACATTACTTATCATAAAATATTTCCAACCTTATTAGGTAATAACGAGTGTTGAATAACTTTATTGTAGGAAGTCCAAATAAATAAAGAATCGGTAAAATTGAAAATCGCTTTGTATTAGCGAAATGCTGTAAAGCAAAGCACTGTGAAGTGGAGCCTGCCTGGAGTACCACTGATTTAGTGTTTCACTGGAAATAACTCAGTGACTTCCTGGTGATTAAAGGCAGTCACCCTTCCAAGGTACTAACAAGACCCAGTGTTGCTTACAGCCACTGACCAGATGAGAAGCAGTGCATTCAGTGCAGTAAGTTTATATAGATACAGGTACATATAAACACAGTTACATAAATTATCATACATGGCAGCATAACCCAAAATCCAAAAATGTCAAAGTGACTTCTTATTTCCTTTGGGGTGGTGTGGTCACTGACTGTATGGTATTACCTGTAGTAACCATAACAAAACAAGAAATACAGCCAATGATTTATTTTTCCCAACGGCAACATCACAGCATTTGTATGGCTCGATGTGTGTGTGTAACTTTTGGCCACTTTTGTTTAATCTACTGTACATATTTGATTAATTTTGGATATCATATATGTATTTGCAATTTGGAGAGACATTTGAAACGTCATATCCATGTGCCTCTGGCAAGACAGTGATATTGTGAATGATGGTGAAAGTGTTTCTTTTTCAGGTCACCATACCTCAGTGGGAGACAGCCAGCATGTTAAAAAAATAAATAATTAAAAGTAAATTTATACTGCAGTGTTGATAATTGTAGTGGTGTATGAATTTTTATGTGAAAATTTGTCATCATAACTACTGCAAGCGTATACGTATGTATATACATACTATGCTTTACTGGGTTTCCCAAGGATAAAATTTATATAATATACAGTGTTTTTATTTGTAAAATATCTGTATGTAGTCTGTCCTAATGAAAGTCGGTCTTTCATGGTGGCTAAGAAAGTCGAATGTGTAACTTTGACTCAAGAAGTGATTGTTACTGTGTATTGTAGTTTGCTCAGTGGGCCAGTTTTTAAATTCATGCTTCAAAAGGTTTTATTGTCTCAATGAATTATTGCATTTATTGACATTGTGGTATGTTATAAATAAATGTTAAGTCTTTGTTAATAGGCTACAATCTAACCTAACTTAAATAACGTAAATTGAGAAATTTACTTAAAATAATACACAAGAAATTGACCTAGATTTTAGTAAGACATGTTGCTATATACCCTCAGAGCCATTGTACAACTTTTTGCTACTAAAATGTTTTTAGATTTTCCTGATAAAATTTATCTAATCTTAAATTGTTAAAGGATGGTTATATTTGGTTTCAATACTACTTACTGGGCAGTGTTGGTGATTTAACTCCCAACTTGTAGCTGCAGAGGAGACATGTGTTGACATATCATACGTATCACACAAACCAAATGAACTTTGCCTAACTGTACATAACTGATAATGCAACTGATTACCTTGACAAAATATTTAATCATTCATGACAGATAAGCCAAACATTTTGACATTTTATTGAAACCTCTTCCCACCAGGAATGTTTAGTATCTTCTCCACCAGATACTGAAATAAAACACAGTAAAGAACTCTTGCATGACATTACTGTATCATCAACAAAAGTAATGGATACAGGAGGGTCCCGCTTTACAGTGCTTTGTTATATAGCGTTTTGCTAATGCGGCAGCTTTCAATTTACCTATTCTTCATTTATTCAATATCCCTTTATTTTTAATGATTTTCAAGTCTTTCCACCCCAAGCCCAGCCATGGGTCGGGCTATCACCCCTGTCTCAAAATAAAATCACCATTCTTAACCTAAGGATGTAAATTTTAAGATGTGATACGTAGATGTTTACCCCTAGTTCTTTTTGCCTTTTAAATATATGATAGCGTAACATGCTTCAGGCTTTATATGCTTTTGAAGGTGAAAAAAAGGATATGATTCACTTTACAAAATTTTTGTTTTCAGCAGTGCCAAAACCCAACCGTTCTATAAGCGGGGCTCCCCTTAAAATGCAGAACCTGGAAGACAAGAAAGAAAAGATTTCATTGGGTTTTTTTAACCCTGGGGGGGTTACCCCCCAGGTAACCCAAAGAAAGTCAGTGCTCATCGAGGAGCTAACTTATTTCCATTGGGGTCCTTAATCTTGTCCCCCAGGATGCCACCCACACCAGTCAACTAACACCCAGGTACCTATTTGCTGCTAGGTGAACAGGAAAACGGGTGAAAGGGAAAAGTGTCAAAATGTTTTCCACCCTGCGGGAAATTTCGAACCCGGGCCCTTTTGTGGGAAGGGGAAAGCTTTAGCCACCAGGCCACCGGACTAACCTGATGTATAAGCAGGGCTCTCCTATATACATGTAGCAACTACACAGATACTGCAGTGTTAAACAACTCAAAATATGAAATATGTATTAAAGATTATATTGTACGTTCAATCCGAGGAAGGGGAGAACAGGTTCAATCCAAGGAAGGGAATTAGAGGCTCAATCCAGGGAAGGGGAGAACAGGTTCAATCCAAGGAAGGGGAGAACAGGTTCAATCCTAGGAAGGCGAGAACAAGTTCAATCCAAGGAAGGGGAGAACAGGTTCAATCCAAGGAAGGGGAGAACAGGTTAAACCCTAAAAGGAAGAACAATTAAAATCCAAGAAGGAAAAAAACTGGTTCAACCCGGGAAGGGGCAAAACAGGTTCAACCCTAGGAAGGGGAGAAGGTTTCAACCAAGGAAGGGGAGAACGGGTTTCAACCAAGGAAGGGGAAAAAACGGGGTTCAATCCAAGGAAGGGGAGAACGGGTTCAATCCAAGGAAGGGAGAACATTTTCAATCCAAGAATGGAGAAACAGTTCAATTCCAAGGAGGGGAAACAGGTTCAATCAAGGAAGGAGACAGTTCAATCCAGGAAGGCAAACATTTTCATTTTAGGAAAAACAGGTTCAACCAAAGGGAAGGGTAGTAACTTCTCCAAGCAGATAACAGATTAAATCCAGTAAAGAACTCTCATGACAGAACGGGTTAAATCAACAAAAGGTAATGGAAAGGAGGGTCCTCCTAGACAGGCTTGATATAGCGTTATCTAAGGGAGAACATTTCAATCAGACCAGGTTAAATTTAAAGAATGAAAACAGTTTAATACCAAAGGCATTCCACTCCCAGAAAGGGTGGGCAACTGGTTCAACCAAAGGGAAAGGGGAAAATTTATCAAAGGTAAGGTGTAAAACGGGTAATGGGAAGGCGTAGAACATTTCTTTAATCCAAGGATAGCGTAAACATTTCTACCCAGGATATGGTTAAAAGTTCAAAAAAGGGAGAACAGATTCAATTCAAGCAAGTGGGTGCTTTACAGGTTAGTCCAGGAAACCAACCGGTTCTATTAGAAGGGCTATCAGTTACAATCCTGGAAGAGAAGGATAAGAAAGATTCAGGTTTTAATCCAAGGAAGGGTTAGAACCAGGTAATCCTAGGAAAGACAGTGCAATCCAAGGAGGAGCAGTTCAATCCATGGGAAAGGAAATCTTGTTCAATCCAGGAAATGCGGACCAACGGGTTCACCTAAAAACCCAGGTTCAATCCTGCAGGGAAACAGGTTCAACCAGGGAAGGAAAAAGTTCCCCGGAAAGTTTCACTCCGGAAGGGAACAGGTCCATCCGTGTGGAAGGGAACAGGTTATCCCAGGCCAGGACTTAATCCAGGGATGAGAAGCAGGGCTCTCCTATAAAACATGTAGCAACCTAGGAAGGGATACAGTTCAATGGAAAAACAGGTCAATAAGAGGAAATAGTATTCAAGAAGAGAACGGTTCAATCCAAGAAGGGGAGAACAGGTTCAATCCAAGGAAGGGAATTAGAGGCTCAATCCAGGGAAGGGGAGAACAGGTTCAATCCAAGGAAGGGGAGAACAGGTTCAATCCAAGGAAGGGGAGAACAGTTCAATCCAAGGAAGGGAGAAACGGGTTCAATCCAAGGAAGGGGAGAACAGGTTCAATCCAAGGAAGGGGAGAAACAGGTTCAATCCAGGAAGGCGAGAAAAAGGTTCAATCCTAGGAAGGGCAAACAGGTTCAACCCTAGGAAGGGGAGAACAGGTTCAATCCAAGGAAGGGGAGAACAGGTTCAATCCAAGGAAGGGGAGAACAGGTTCAATCCAAGGAAGGGGAGAACAGGTTCAATCCAAAGGAAGGGAGAATCCAAGAAAAACAGGTTCAATCCAAGGAAGGGGAGAACAGGTTCAATCCAAGGAAGGGGAGAACAGGTTCAATCCTAGGAAGGGGCAAACAGGTTCAATCCTAGGAAGGGGAGAACAGGTTCAATCCAAGGAAGGGGAGAACAGGTTCAATCCAAGGAAGGGGAGAACAGGTTCAATCCAAGGAAGGGGAGAACAGGTTCAATCAAGGAAGGGAGAACAGGTTCAACCCAAGGAAGGGGAGAACAGGTTCAATCCTAAGGAAGGGGAAACAGGTTCAATCCTAGGAAGGGGAAACAGGTTCAATCCAAAGGGAAGGGGAGAATAGGTTCAATCCAAGGAAGGGGAGAACAGGTTCAATCCAAGGAAGGGGAGAACAGGTTCAATCCAAGGAAGGGGAGAACAGGTTCAATCCAAGAAAGGGGAGAACAGGTTCAATCCAAGGAAGGGGAGAACAGGTTCAACCCAAAGGGAAAGGGGGAGAACGGGTTCAATCCAAGGAAGGGGAGAACAGGTTCAATCCAAGGAAGGGGAGAACAGGTTCAATCCTAGGAAGGGGCAAACAGGTTCAATCCTAGGAAGGGGAGAACAGGTTCAATCCAAGGAAGGGGAGAACAGGTTCAATCCAAGGAAGGGGAGAACAGGTTCAATCCAAGGAAGGGGAGAACAGGTTCAATCCAAGGAAGGGGAGAACAGGTTCAATCCAAGGAAGGGGAGAACAGGTTCAATCCAAGAAAGGGGAGAACAGGTTCAATCCAAGGAAGGGGAGAACAGGTTCAATCCAAGGAAGGGGAGAACAGGTTCAATCCAAGGAAGGGGAGAACAGGTTCAATCCAAGGAAGGGGAGAACAGGTTCAATCCTAGGAAGGGGCAAACAGGTTCAATCCTAGGAAGGGGAGAACAGGTTCAATCCAAGGAAGGGGAGAACAGGTTCAATCCAAGGAAGGGGAGAACAGGTTCAATCCTAGGAAGGGGAGAACAGGTTCAGTCCAAGAAAGAGGAGAGGTTTAATCAAACTGGAGAAGAGGCTCAATCCAAGAAAGGGTAGAAGAGGTTCAACTCCCTGGATCAAGAACCCCCGCGAGGATATCAACACGTAACATGGCAGCCTCCACACTCAGTCACGTTTCCAACAATTTCAACACCAATTTACGCCTCAATACCGCCAATACTACTCCCACCTGACCACCATACTATTCCTGCAACTAAACTATCATAGTACATGGAAAATAGACGCTCAGGGAAGATTATATAGTGAAATATTTACCCCGAGTGAGAGCCAACAACTCAAGATTACACTAACAAAACAAACTCACCAACACAAACAATAAGTTCACTACTTGACTAACTTATTAAATATTTATTAAATATTTATTACCATCTTTAAGGTGTTTTTTATATTGTAAGTTATTTATTGGTGATGATAATGAGGTTGAAATAATGGGGTGATAATGCTGCTGTAGCCTCAGGTAGAGGAAAATAACTTGGGATGTTGATCGCTTATGTGTTGATGCAACTAAAACTGGTACATGGTGTTATGCTTATTAATACTAGTGATGATAATGATGATTATTGATGATTTATCATTGATGGTGACGATTGATGATAATTATGCTGATGATATACTAATATCAGTGATAATTATGATCATTGATGCTAATAATGATTGATGATAATTCTGAGTGATATACTTATTAATATCAGTGATTATGACTCATAATAATTATTGATGATAAATATTAATGATTATTGATGATTATGATATTTTTTGATGATTGATAGTATGATAATGATTCATGATTATAATGACTGATAATGATGTTTGATGATGATGTATGACTGGAAAACTATCCTGTATGATGGTGTATGACAGGAAAATCATCCTGTATGATGGTTTATGACAGAAAAATCATCCTGTATGATGGTGTATGACAAAAATCATCCTGTATGATGGTGTATGACAGGAAAATCATCCTGTATGATGGTGTATGACAGAAAAATCATCCTGTATGATGGTGTATGACAGGAAAATCATCCTCTATGATGGTGTATGACAGAAAATTATTATTACAATCAAGGGGGAAGCGCTAAACCCGGAGGATTATACAGCGCCTGGGGGGGGGATGTGGAAGGCATTCAGGCTTAATTTGGGGAACTGGAGCACAGATCCAATTCCCTAAATCAAGACCCCCTCACCAACATCAAGGAACCTTCCTTGAGGGGTATGACAGAAAAATCATCCTGTATGATGGTGTATGACAGGAAAAAGGATATACAGTATTGACCAAGATGTGTATTTCTCCGAGTATATACAGTGAGAGTTTACTTTAATCTGTATTTTAGTGATTGAAGGTATTCTTGTCTGGTGGTGTAAAGGTAACATGCAGACCTGAATGACCCTCATGTAGTTGACAGGCTTTAAACTCGATTAATGAACCAACGAAACCAACACAAATACAACAAGCACTTCCGCACACAGTTAAAATAAGTTGCATTAGTTGTTCTCACAGGCATCCTGATAATTATAAAATTCATGGTAGGTGAAAAAGTCCAGGCACGAGAGCAGTTAAAACAGGGTCCACAGTGAGCTGCACACCATAAGTCAAATTACACTATTCATGGTGGGTGTGGAGGAGGGAATGTTAAATCTACTTTTATATCACTGAGGATTATAATATAAAGGAAGCACTAAACCCACTAGGGTCATACAGCGTTATATCACCTAGGAAATAGGCAAGCAGGCATGATCCACAGAGGATAGGTCTAATTCCTTGGGTTGAAGAACCCTTCATTAACATCAAGGCACCTTCCTTAGGCTTAAAGGAATGTCATAGAACGAGGATCAGGAGTACCTGTAAACAGGTGGCTATGGGGAAGTTACACATGATCCTTGATCAAGAGATCAGTCTTTATGCAGGACATTCATTTTATCATTATACGAAGTTACACAGTGGTGTAATATTGGATAATGCCCGTGTCAGAAGTTTTGCTCTGGTCCTGGGCTTTCTAATTATCAGTCACATAAAAAGGAAAGGCAATCCTTTCCAATGGGGCATCATTTTGTTTGCGATTTGATATAAATTCTACATGCCTCTATAATGCTGCTGTGTGGAGATTTTGAATCTCTTTATGCACTGCCTAGAAGTGGGCTTTAAGCATACTATTGCTGCAGCCCTGCAAGTCATTATTCCCATATTATGATGCATTCACTAATTGCACCAAACCCATGCAGGTCAATGTTGCAAGGTATAGGGAGCAAAGGGAAATATTTTTGAACTAAAAAACATAAGCCAGAGTTGGCACAATAAGTTTGTTTCAGCTGTCCATCACCAGACTCATTTACTCAAGATGTTAAGTTTTCCCTTGAAATGGGGTTGTTCCTTGGAAACTCCTTTACTGTCACCTGTCACAGAATCAAGGAATAAAGAAAAGTACTCAGGGATAAATATCTTGAAGCAATCACTTCCACCCACTCTTACCTTAAATCTTTTATTCCTAAACAGTATGTCCACAACTTACATTAATTTATTCCTGAAAATTGTTTGCATGTCAACTGTTCAGAATCCTGAACCTATTCTCCCAGGAATGTCAATGAGATTATTCCATTCAAGAGCTAAACCCATAGGGGTCATACAGCACCTGAGGGTAGGGAAGCACATGTCAAATCTTTCAATCAAATAATCAGCCCCAATGATGGTATTTAACTTTTGAAAACCCTTACACTAGTGTTCTCATTAAAAACAGTGTTCTGTCCACGTATCTTCCTTCAATGCAAAAAAGATATCAAAGATAGAAGTATGTAAGCAACATTTGTCACTAAGTACATTTAAACTACTAGGGATCACCTCAGTCCTCTAAATGTACTCTTTAAAACAGATACGCTTCATTATTTATACATAATAAACACTCAAAAGCCAGATGACTAATCTGTACACTATGGGTGAAAAAAAACACAAAAGACCACTTCTAAAATCCGAGTCAAGCTACTTTTTTTTTTTTTTTTTTTTTTTTAACTTACTGCCAGTTACTATAAGAAATATTGCTGGCATATTTCTAAGATATTCTTTGACTTGTACAAAACATGACATCCTGGGTACAAAAGCTTTCCCTAAACCTCTAGATATTCTATGATATAAACTCAGGTCACCTGGATTGAAAGAGTATAAAGATAGAATCACTTAAATATAAAAGCTTTATTTAGGGAATGCCATATTTTTACATACTGTAAGTGAATTAATTCTAGTTATACTGGTTTAAAACAATGTCTGTATGTATAATAAAAACATTTTTACAAAACAAATGTATATCTTTAAAAGCTTTAATTACACAGCATAACTAAAAATAGGTAAAAAAAAAAAAAAAAAAAAATCAAAATCGTATGACTATATTAGGAAGATTTCTCTGTACATAACTCCAAGCTTTATTGAGTTGCTGAAAAAATGAAGGCTTACTCATTCTGTAGAAAAAAAAAATATACTGCAAACAAAAACAAATCATGAAATTGTCAACTACACGCTGAAAATTTTTGACCAAACATTTATGTGGAACATTATTAAAGCTTTGTACTCATTATATAATACAAATATACGGTAACAGACTATGAATATTAGTAGTATGTACTCTTAGCCAGCGTACATGAATTTGCACAGAACATCTAAGTGCATCCTCAAAATAAATGTTCTTTTGTTCAATCATTCCTTAGAACAATTCTCACATTTATACATAGGAACCTGTAGGCACCCCTGCCAACAGACTTTTGCTATACTATATACAATAAAGTTACCCTAACTTAGTTATGTATCTTCAGCTGTGTTTCTGGATTTTAAATAATGATGAAAACAGTCAATAAGAAATGAATATTGCAGTTTGTCAATCAATATGGAGAAGAGCGATTCTTTAGCATCTGCATCCAAGTGGTCGACCAAAGATTCGAGGAATGCCGGGTTTTCGTTTGCTCTCGTGCAAACTGATTTTATAATACCTGGGTTCAAATCTGAAAAACAAAAAAAGAAAATAGATAACATTAGATAAGAACGATGTAGTTTGCAAATTAAAACAGTGCTGTGCAAGGTGTAGTGACATTATATATAGTCATTACCATGCTCACACACCAGCAGCACTGCAAATCCCCAAAATCACTATTATTACTAAAGGGTTATAACTGACCATAATTTTTAAAGGGCTGGACTGGTAAACCAGTGGAAGGCCTCGGTCAGATGACCAAAAGCTCCAGCCAGCAGCGGGTCATCATATGACTAAAACCTACATTAGGAAACACTTGTCCTGTTTCCTGACGAACCTTACCTAACCCAAAACCACTAGCCTCTAATATTATCTGACACACTCCCATATGCCTGTTAGTTGTTCAAGCCACTATTTCTCCAAACTTCCTTCACTTTGCAAATACATCCTCTTGGTCAATCTATCTGGTTCCATCATTTCTAAATGACAAAACCAGCTTAATAATGCCCGAATTCTCTCTTTTGTATTATCAGTGTTTCATACTGCAACATTCAGAGACCATGTCTCACACCTACACAATTTTTAGCACCATCATTTTTATATATTCCCCTTTTTGCATCCAATGAAAAACTGCCTTCTTCTAACACTACAGCATTCTAGCCTTCTTACCTTTTTATTCTAGCATTCAAGTTGTCTTTCCCATACTAAATGCCAATACATCCATTCCCAAATACATTAAATTCCTTCATACTCTCTCCCTGCAATCTTGATAAATTCACTGCCTAGACTTTTTTTTACTCTCACCACTATATTCTTTTCTGTCTTATTGCTCCCTTAAAAGCTCTCCTTCCTGAATCCGCATCATTCTTCGGCAATTCTACTAGGGGATATAATTTTGGAAAATTTGGAAACTATTTTTCGAACAGTATATATATATATAAATGTATATTTTTTTAACACGTTAGCTGTTTCCCACCAAGCCAGGGTGACTCAAAAAAGAAAAAAACACTTTCATCATCACTCATACATAATCACCGCCTTTGCAGAGGCACTCAGATACGACAGCTTAGATGTCCCCCCAAATTGCCAATATCCCAAACCCCTCCTTTAAAGTCCAGGCACTGTACTTCCCATTTCCAGGACTCGGGTCAGGCTAACTGGACTTGATATATGTATCACCTACTTCAACTACAGGAAACACGAACTCCTTCCCCGTCAAACTCAGGACAGCCGATACCCGCGCATACATCCCAATCTCCAAAACAACAAATGCCTTGGGTGTAACCCTAGACCACTGCCTACGCATAAACAATCACATTTCCACAAAACGTGCCATTGCTAGTAAGGCTTTTTCAAAGCTATTCAAGCTAAGGCAAGTGTCCACACGAACCAAACTTCACCTCTATAAATCCCTCATTTGGCCCTTAATCTCTTACTGCCCTTTAGCCCTCTCCCTAGCAGCTAAGACAAACAGACTAAAACTACAGCATGTCCAGAACAAAGCTCTACGCTGGGTGTTTGATGTGAGCTGGAATGACTTCCTCACGAGCGAGGCCATCCACAGCCAAGCAAACATCTCTGCACTGAATGTGTTCTGGAAAACGCTCAGCGACAAACAGATAGACACACGACATGACCACTGGACCTCTTACCTCGACGAGGATATACGCAGACCTCAAAACACACACGACCTATTCTACTCTATACTACCCCCTGACTCAAATCCCTTATACAGTGGACCCCCGCATAACGATGGCATCACATAGCGATTTTTCCGCATACCGATTACTTTTATCGCAAAATTTTTGCCGCGCATACCGATTAAAAACCCGCTTACCGATTTTCGTCCGAGACGCGTCCAATGTGCCCTCAGCCAGCCTCACATGTGCCGGCCGTCCCATTGTTTACCAGCCAGCCTCCGCGGTAACATCCAAGCATACACTCGGAATATTTCGTATTATTACAGTATTTTCGGTGCTGTTTCTGGAAAATAAGTGACCATGGGCCCCAAGAAAGCTTCTAGTGCCAACCCTACACCTCAAAGAGTAAGAATTACTATAGAAATGAAGAAAGAGATAATTGATAAGTATGAAGTGGAGTGCGTATAGCCGACCTAGTCAAGCTGTACAAGAAACCCCAATCAACCATCGCTACTATTGTGGGCACCAGAAAGACAATCAAGGAAGCTGTTCTTGCCAAAGGTTCAACTGTGTTTCGAAACAAAGATCACAAGTGATGGAAGATGTTGAGAGAGCTCTTATTGGTGTGGATAAATGAAAAACAGATAGCAGGAGATAGCATCTCTCAAGCGATCATATGTGAAAAGGCTAGGAAGTTGCATGAGGATTTAATTAAAAAAATGCCTGCAACTAGTGATGATGTGAGTGAATTTAAGGCCAGCAAAGGTTGGTTTGAGAGATTTAAGAAGCGTAGTGGCATCCATAGTGTGATAAGGCATGGTGAGGCTGCCAGTTCGGACCACAAAGCGGCTGAAAAATATGTGCAGGAATTCAAGGAGTACATAGAAACTGAAGGACTGAAACCTGAACAAGTGTTTAATTGTGATGAAACAGGCCTGTTCTGGAAGAAAATGCCAAGCAGGACCTACATTACTCAGGGAGGAAAAGGCACTCCCAGGACATAAGCCTATGAAAGACAGGCTTACTTTGTTGATGTGTGCCAATGCTACTGGTGATTGCAAAGTGAAGCCTTTATTAGTGTATCACTCTGAAACTCCCAGAGCGTTCAGGCAAAAGAATGTCCTCAAGGATAATTTGTGTGTGCTGTGGAGGGCAAACAGTAAGGCATGGGTCACTAGGGAATTTTTCTATAACTGGTTACACCATGCATTTGCCCCCAATGTGAAAATTACCTACTGAAAAGAAATTAGAACTTAAGTGCCTCCTGGTGTTAGACACATGCCCTGGTCATCTACAGACGTGGCAGAGCGACTTTATGGGGGACATGAGCTTCATTAAGGTGAGTTTTTGCCTCCTAATACCACGCCTCTCCTGCAGCCCATGGACCAGCAGGTTATTTCCAACTTCAAGAAACTGTACACAAAAGCTCTGTTTGAAAGGTGCTTTGTAATGACTCAGAAACTCAACTGACTCTAAGAGAGTTTTGAGAGATCACTTTAATATCCTCAATTGTGTAAACCTTATAGGTAAGGCTTGGGAGGAAGTGACTAAGAGGACCTTGAACTCTGCTTGGAAGAAACTGTGGCCAGAATGTGTAGACAAAAGGGATTTTGAAGGGTTTGAGGCTAACCCTGAGAATCCTGTGCCAGTTGAGGAATCCATTGTGCATTGGGAAAGTCCTTGGGGTTGGAGGTTAGTGGGGAGGATGTGGAAGAGTTGGTGGAGGAGGACAATGAAGAACTAACCACTGATGAGCTGATAGATCAACTTCAAGAGCAAGAGGCCAGACCTGGGGAAACTGGTTCAGAGGAGGGGAGAGAGAAATTGAAGAAGTTGCCTACTACAAAGATAAAGGAAATCTGTGCTAAGTGGCTTGAAGTGCAAACCTTCATGGATGAAAATCACCCTCACACAGCTATTGCAAGCCGTGCTGGTGATTATTACACGACAATGTTGTGAAACACTTTAGGCAAGTCATAAAGGAACGAGAGGTACAGGCCACTATGGACAGATATCTTGTGCGAAAGAAGTCCAGTGACTCTGAAGCTGGCCCTAGTGGCATTAAAAAAAGAAGGGAAGTAACCCCAGAAAAGGACTTACTACCTCAAGTCCTAATGGAAGGGGATTCCCCTTCTAAAACAGTAAGAAGATAATGCTCTCCCCTCCTTCCCATCCCATCAATCATCACCAGATCTTCAATAAAAGTAAGTGTCATTTAATTGTGCATGCCTTTTTCAGTTTGTGTGTATTAAAATTAACATTTCATGTGGTAAAAAAAAATTTTTTTCATACTTTTGGGCGTCTTGCACGGATTAATTTTATTTCCATTATTTCTTATGGGGAAAATTCATTCGCATAACGATTATTTCGCATAACAATTATCCCTCTTGCACGGATTAAAATCGTTAACCGGGGGTCCACTGTATAAGTAAAACTGTTTGCAACCCAAGAAAACCAACCTGTATTTACAGGTGGGGACCTTAACCCGTAGACAGTCCAAACGTATATATACGTTCACTACCATACTGCCCCAACTTTTTTGAGAGAAAAAAAAAACATTGTTGTTTTTTAATAGGAAAAAAGAGCATATGGTACCCAGGCATCCCCAATTATTTTAATATGGTGCACAGTGAGTGCTCACACCCATTCTCACATGTCTAGGCGACTCAGGCTTATCATGGCAATGTTAAATGTAGGACATATAAAACGTATATATACGTTTGGGGCACTAGCGGTAAAAACGTATATATACGTTCAGACCGTTTACGGGTTAAATGACATTCATTTTTAATGTTCTTATTACTTTTCCTTTTATATCCATGGGGAAGTGGAATAAGAATCTTTCCTCCGTAAGCCATGTATGTTGTAAAAGTCAACTAAAATGCCGGGCACAATAGGCTAGTAACCCCTTTTCCTGTAATAATTACCAAAAAGAATAAGAAAATTGTAGGGGTTTGGGATATTGGCAGTTTGGAGGGATATGTTGTGTATCTTTATACGTATATGCTTCTAAATTATTGTATTCTGGGCACCTCTGCAAAAACAGTGATTGTGTGTGAATGAGGTAAAAGTATTGAATGATGATGAAAGTATTTTCTTTTTGAGTCACCCTGCCTCAGTGAGAGATGACCGACTTGTTGAAAAACAAAAAAATATACATGAAAAGGAGGAAGGAATTCAAGGAAAAACGTGTAGTTCCTTTATATGAGATAAAAAAAAGAAAGCCAAGAGAAAGAATTGCAGGGGAATAAGCCTTTTGAGTATACTGTACTGGCTAAGCCTTTGGAGTATGCCAGGTAGTGTAAGGCAGCATTATAGCTACAAGTCAAAAGAAACAAAGTAATGTATTTTTAAATATTCTACCTTGTGTAACTTTTTTTTTTTTTTTTATTATCACACTGGCCGATTCCCACCAAGGCAGGGTGGCCCGAAAAAGAAAAACTTTCGCCATCATTCACTCCATCACTGTCTTACCAGAAGGGTGCTTTACACTACAGTTTTTAAACTGCAACATTAACACCCCTCCTTCAGAGTGCAGGCACTGTACTTCCCATCTCCAGGACTCAAGTCTGGCCTGCCGGTTTCCCTGAACCCCTTCATAAATGTTACTTTGCTCACACTCCAACAGCACGTCAAGTATTAAAAACCATTTGTCTCCATTCACTCCTATCAAACACGCTCACGCATGCCTGCTGGAAGTCCAAGCCCATCGCACACAAAACCTCCTTTAGCCCCTCCCTCTAACCTTTCCTAGGCCGACCCCTACCCCGCCTTCCTTCCACTACAGGGCTGATTCACTCTTGAAGTCACTCTGTTTCGCTCCCTTCTCTCTACATGTCCGAACCACCTCAACAACCCTTCATCAGCCCTTGGACAACGTTTTGGTAAACCCCCACCTCCTCCTAACTTCCAAACTACGAATTCTCTGCATTATATTCACACCACACATGACATTTCTTCTGCCTCCAGCCTTCTCCTCGCTGCAACATTCATCATCCATGCTTCACACCCATATAAGAGCGTTGGTAAAACTATACTCTCATACATTCCCCTCTTTGCCTCCAAGGACAAAGTTCTTTGTCTCCACAGACTCCTAAGTGCACCACTCACCCTTTTCCCCTCATCAATTCTATGATTCACCTCATCTTTCATAGACCCATCCGCTGACACGTCCACTCCCAAATATCTGAATACATTAACCTCCTCCATACCCTCTCCCTCCAATCTGATATCCAATCTTTCATCACCTAATTTTTTTGTTATCTTCATAACCTTACTCTTTCCTGTATTCACTTTTAATTTTCTTCTTTTGCATACCCTACCAAATTCATCCACCAATCTCTGCAACTTCTCTTCAGAATCTCCAAAGAGCACAGTGTCATCAGCAAAGAGCAACTGTGACAACTCCCACTTTATGTGTGATTCTTTATCTTTTAACTCCACGCCTCTTGCCAAGACCCTCGCATTTACTTCTCTTACAACCCCATCTATAAATATATTAAACAACCACGGTGACATCACACATCCTTGTCTAAGGCCTACTTTTACTGGGAAATAATTTCCCTCTTTTCCTAATACTCTAACTTGAGCCTCACTATCCTCGTAAAAACTCTTCACTGCTTTCAGTAACCTACCTCCTACACCACACACTTGCAACATCTGCCACATTGCCCCCCTATCCACCCTGTCATACGCCTTTTCCAAATCCATAAATGCCACAAAGACCTCTTTAGCCTTATTAAATGCTGTTCACTTATGTGTTTCACTGTAAACACCTGGTCCACACACCCCCTACCTTTCTTAAAGCCTCCTTGTTCATCTGCTATCCTATTCTCTGTCTTACTCTTAATTCTTTCAATAATAACTCTACCATACACTTTACCAGGTACACTCAACAAACTTATCCCCTTATAATTTTTGCACTCACTTTTGTCCCCTTTGCCTTTATACAAA